TCAGCAGTGTCTCGACGAATATTCGTATGACTGTCATCAAACTAAAGTCCGGAGGATTATGGGTTCATGCTTCTATTGCTCCAACCAAAGAGTGCATTCAGGTTTCATTTCTTTAAATCCCTTTTGGCTTCCAAATATCGATTGGTTACATTTCATGTAAACGATTTCATTCTTTGATTTTGATGTCGTTTCCAAACTGCAAGATTGCTCTCACCAGCTGAAGGAAACCACAAAACATATGAAATATCATCATTGTATACAGAGAGGATAGAGTTGTCATTATTATTTATGTTCTGGGGGTCTTGTGTTGTTTATGATGAAAGTTTTTGTTAGTGTTGTTATGTTGAATGTTATATTAGTCTTGATGAAGTTCTTGTGATAAGCAAGAAAGCATGTTGGTTGAGTGTGAGAGTATCTTCTGAAAACCCCGGGATGTTTCCTTGCATATGATTGAACGCTGGGTGTCTTCTCTGTGGCAGCTTATTAAGGAGTTGGGAGCTCCGGTTGAATACATCATCCTACCGACATTTGCCTACGAGCACAAGATTTTTGTTGGCCCGTTTTCGAGAAAGTTTCCCAAGGCTCAGATATGGGTGGCACCGAGACAATGGAGCTGGCCGCTGAACCTACCGCTTGAGTTTTTTGGAATCTTCCGTGCTAAAACCCTAAAGGATGGAGACTTATCTACACCATGGGCTGATGAGATTGAGCAGAAAGTCCTAAGTTCCCCAGAAGTTGGTTTGTATCTAATTTAAATTCCTTCAGATTTTCGCTTTTTTTAGATGCGCAGTGTAAGAATCAGGAATCATTTTCTTGTTGATATTCAGGAATTGGACCATATGTAGAAGTAGCATTCTACCACAAACGGTCAAGAACCCTCTTGGTTACTGATGCTGTGATATTTGTCCCGAAAAAGCCACCAGAGTGTATCGGCAACGAATCTTTGTTGGCCTCAGCTAAGAATGGGTTGGCTGTAAAGATACTCAGCAAAGGAAAAGAAGTACCAAACGAGCCTGTTGTTGATAGCCCGACAAATCGCCAGAAAGGTCAGTTCTTGGATCGGATCCAGATTTCATTTTCCCTTAACCAAATTCAACTCCCCGATGTGAAAATTCCGGCAGAAGGTTCATTTCTCTTTACTCTTTTTAATCTTGCAGGATGGGAACGAATGGTTCTGCAAATCTTGTTCCTTGGTCCTTCAAATTTACTGGAGCCAAATGCTAGCTTTGCTCAGATGTCGCAGAAACTGATCGTTTCACCCATTGTAAAGACGTTGGTCTTCAGCAAAGTGCCAGAGAAGGTAGTGACAGTGTGATCTCTTCTTATCCTTATAGAGCCCATATACAATGTGGTGGACCAATCATTTACGTAGGAATATGATTTCAGGTAAGGGATTGGATCGAAAGCATAGCTCGGGACTGGAGATTCAAGAGAATAATCCCGGCGCATTTCGCAGCTCCAGTAAACGCAGGAAGATCTGAATTTCTAGCTGCTTTTGGGTTCCTTGATGATCTTCTTGGAGAAAGATACATTACACGTCCTTCTTTCTCGCTTCTCTTCACGTCCCTTATGGGAAAGGCTGCGAGCTATTTCCCTCCAGACGACATGAGAACTCTGTCTTCTCTTGATCAGTTCTTGGTCTCTGTTGGAGCCGTGAAAAAGACAGTCTCTGGCAGAAAGCAGAGGTGACAAAGATCCATTGTATCTAATCTCCTGACTATACAGTCTTGTAATGCAAAGTTTTACACGAGATAAGAGCTCGTGGATTATATAGAAGTAAAGCTCCGAGGTTTAAGTCTTTTAAGGTTTTGTTCTCCGGAAGGGCGTTTGTTAGTAGTGTTAGAGCTTCAAACCCGTTAACGCTACCTTAACGGTAGGGCAAGATAACTTGCCGGCTAAGCAAAAAAGGCAAAGAGGCCAACTTTAGCCATGTACAAGTTTAAAACTTTATTACAAGGAATATTCCTCAGTTAAGATATAGTCAAAACAGAGAAAAAGGATTTTATTGGAAAAAGAAATCTGAGTAGGAAATCCCATTTTACCAATCCCGAAAACCGGAGGTAAGCTGTTTTCTTCTCTGTCGACTCAAAACTGAAATCCTCCGAGAAAAGCATGGAAGGGAATCATCAATGAGCTTACTATATCAAGGTTTCCTCTTTCTTGTTTCATCCTTCCTCCGCTTTTTCTGGTTTTATGGGGTTTCTCTCCGGAGAGATTACGCTCAAACCCAAAAGGGTGGGTTCCTTTCTCCCCCTCGATTTCTCGAAAGTTTTGATCTTTGGGAGAAATTGGATATCGGTTGCTGAGATGTTTGTGTTGATTTCTTCTCTTTTCGTTCAAAGTAGGAGGGCTTGGGGGATTGATTTGGCTGGAAAGAAAGAAGCTTCAACCTTCGAATGAAAATGGTAAGGAACGATTAGGAGTTTTCTGTATAATGGTAATGTTACAATGTAATTGCTCTTCATCGTTTTGTTGGGATGGAATTTAGACCTGTGGATTGTTTGCATAAATCTCCCAAATGGGTTCACCATGGAGTTTCCTTTCTTCTGCTGGTTGTCTGAAATCAACTTCGTAATCATTTATTAAACCTCTGAGACACTTATCATGGTTTCTTGTAGAATCTGAGATATATTGAGCACATAATGTATCATGTGACCACATAAATCGGAAATGTATCTATCATTCAGGAACGAGGAAACTCCCAGCATTTTATCAGACATGTCTTTCGTTCCGATCATTCTCTGAATCAGCCTCAGTCGGATTACTTGTCTGATCTAAGAATAAGTGTTGTCTGCAATTTTCTGTTCCTAGATGATGATGATAGCCATAACAGACTGTATCTTATTAGATATTTCTTCAGGTTGATGTTCTTCAGGTTGTATCAGAAAGGGAAGTATAATTTTAAAGATCTTCAAAAGGTTAATCTTTTTTCGTTTCCCCTTTGGGTGATTTTCTCAGACGATATATTCTCATTTCCTACTGTTTGTTTTTGCTGTTCTGAACATTCACACGTTGGTCTCAGGGCTCATTTGACGGAGGTTAATTTTCTGTCTCGGCCTTATCCATGGCTGAGGTGTGCTTAAGTTTTCCCATTCCACCGGATGTAAGCAGATCATGGAGAAAGATTTCTATAGGAAAGCTGAATCTCTTATATAGTGAAGAGAAAGTTCTCCCTAATTACCTCAGAGCTTCAGCAGGTTCCTGTCATGATGCCTGCAAATACGGGAAAATACAATCTGAAGAGAAGGCAAGGGGCTCAACTCTCAAAAGGGTTGCCATGAAGTTGTCTCGAGACAAGATCCTGAGCCAGAGCTTGGATTCACCATTGATGAGGAGTAGTTGTACATTGTCTAAAAAGATTGCAAAAGCTTCTTCCGGTTCCAGGAAGTGTGATTCTGAAGTCAAGAGTGAAGTTAGAAGATACTCTGCCATAACTGGTAACGTCGAGAAGAAGGAAGCTTCAACTGGGTTGAATAACAAATCTTGCCCCAAGAAAATGAAGAAAAAGACGATATCCTGCTCAGAATCCCGGTTAGCCAGTCCTGTAATGAGAAAGAAGAAGGCCTCGCAGTCTTCTAGAACAGTATTTATACCTCCTGGACGAGCTTCCTTAGGTTTCAGAGGGAGAGGGATCACTACTGGACTTAACAAGCGTGCAAATCTCTCAAAGTTAAAATCTGTTGCAGAGAAAGGATCAGGTGTTCAATATTGCAGAAGGGAGAACAATACTATGACTAGAAAGAATAGTGGTATTTCTAAAGCAGATCCGAAGAAAGCAGTCATGTCCGGAAGAGCCTCCTTCGTGAAAAGACTTCCAGACAGATCTGGACTCGTAAAGGTGACAAAGTCTGAAGCTAAGAAATCGGGGCTTAAACCAAAGCAAGGAAATGAAAAACAAGACTTGGTTGAAGAGAAAACCCTTTACGTCATCGAGATGGAAACAGAGAACGCAATCGTGGGATCAGCTGAGAATGAAAGATGTGTCATCGGTTCACCACACAATGATCCACGGAGATTATCTCGCAGGAAAAACCTGCAAGAGGAATCTGAGAGTACTATGACTGACATTGACGATGAATCTTCAGGAAATCAGGTAACTAAAAGGGGAGAAGGAGAAGAAGAAGATCTAGATGATGACGGTCATGGTGATGATGAGTCTCTTCCCGATGGTAAGAAAGTACCGAGGCAAAGAAAAATCAGAGCTTTCTCATCAGAGGATGCTATGAAATACAGGGCAATGAAACTAAAATTCAAGAGAGGAAGGACAGTGGACCTGGCTTCACAGGACAACATTCCAAGAAGGCTAAAGTTCAAGAGAGGAAGAGGTCTCACCCGGGATGACTCAACACCAAATTCCAGTAGCAGAAGAAGCTTCAGGACAAAAGGGAACAACTTGAGAAAGGATGAACACAAACTGAGATCTTTGATAGTAGCTCTGAGACATCAAGAAATTCAGAGAAAGAAAGATCATTCGAGAGTGTTGTTCAACAATGTGATTAAGGAAACAGCAAGCAAGCTTGTGAAAACTCGTAAGAGCAAAGTGAAGGCTTTGGTGGGCGCTTTTGAGACTGTCATATCCCTTCAAGAAGGTAAACCTTCTGCAACAACATAACCTTGGTAAATCTACATTAGTTTTAGGATTCTGACATTTTCATATTTCTTGTACTGGAAAAACAAAAAGAGCTTGCTGGCGTTTATGACCGTTTCTGCAAAAACTTAATGTAATTCTATGTGAATTGTGAAACTATAAGCAATAATAATTCTGGTGTGAGTTGTATTATTATCTTATAATACCTTCATAACAGATGCGAGAAGATTTACACTCAGAGAACTTAGAAAAGGATGTTCTGAAACTGGAGGAGACAACGGGTGAAAGATTTTTGTATTATCTATCAATTATGGCATAAACATACAAAAACTCATAATTGTAAAAGAAGGGGGCGCAGTGTGTAAGATCCCTAAAAAGTGGGGCTGAAATGTGATAACTACACGATGTTGGAAGAAAAAAGATTCACACACAGTGTGGAGTGATTGTTGACTATCATGTTGGTGTGTACATTATGAACTTCATCATATACCCTTTGAACTGCAGTCAAAAGAACAGAGGGGATTGATTCATATACAGTCTCCATTGTTTAAGCTTCTTTCATTTGTTTTGTGTACTCCCTCTCTTTCCAATACATCTCCGGATTCGGAACACCAAAACAACAGATGGAAAATGATGACATGTGATATTTGTATCGCATTCGGAGACAGGTACAACTCAAACAAAAAGGAAAAAGATGTATACTATGAGGCGTTTCAGTATCCAAACTGTATATATGTGTCCGTAAACATGTATACCACACTTCAGGACCACCAAACCTCCCGAGACTTTTACAGATCATGTCTCTGGAAATGAGATGCCACTGTCTCACAAGATGGTGCAGACACATCTGTTCTGTTTTGGTTCAGTTTTCACCATCTTCTTCTTCTTTTCTGTTCAAAAAGATCAATGCAGAAAGACTTATCACATTCAGAGATCTTGAATATCTTGGGGGCAATTTTTTTTCTTTCCTTTTTTCGCATCAAAACAATCAACTGGATGAACAATCTTTCCATGAAGTTAAAAGGGTAAAATGGATTAGGGTTTATGAACAATCCTATACCTTTCTCAGAAGGGGGAGGAGGTTGGATGATGATAACGTGCATGGTGGTAACACTGCCGGGAATATCACATAGAGGGTTCCGGCAATCTCCAATTGTCTTGTTGTTCTCCAGAATCTTCCCTGCGCTTATCAACTTCACATCTTTCACCGTCTTTGGTCCATTCTCCTTTTCTGCCCATGGTGTTACATGCAGAAGAAATACATCAGCATTTAGTTACAAAAAGAGCCATATCCTAAGAAAACACCCGATGCTTTTCATTCTGTAAAATCATAAACATGTTTGTCATTTTTGTTAACTTTGAATATATCGGTAGGGGGTAAGCAATACACTAACCTCTCGGCCACTGTGCAATTATAGTTTCCTTCAAGGTAGCAACAGTTGTAGCAGCTGGAAACGTCTTAGGACCAATGTCTGAACCATCAGTTAATCGAAATTTGATCTCGAGCTCATCCTGGACCTCTGCCATATATCCAATGCCCAACAGAACAAAGTATTCTCTTCTTCTTCACCCACAGCCTTAACTGAAACTCACACCAAAGTGACCAAGCCCCCTTCTTGTAATCCACTATGTGTAATTTGCTTTTGGTTTTGTTTTGTTTTTTTTCCTGCATAATTCAAACCCAGGATACAATCATTAAGTAAAACTAGAACAATGGCTCAAAAGAACAAAGTACAGCAGAAGATTTTTGACTATCTGGTTTTGGAGTAGTCTTGTTTCTAAGACTCGGATTCTTGAGCTGGAATCTTAAGCAACTACTTCTATACTCCAAAAAAACCTTCAGAGACAAGCCCCGAAGCTTATAGACTTACAGTCCATCAAAATGGGGTAATAAGAAAGCTCTTGAATTCAATCCGTATCAAATCAAACGCATGGGAAACAACAATAATCATAGAAGATTTCAGAACACAGACACAGTCATATTTACATAAAAGATACAATCTCTAGGAATCACGACAGAAGGGTGCTCTAAATATCATAAAATCCTCATAAATTCACCAAGAAAGGAACAAATCAAGAGAAATTAATTAAGACGAGAATAATATTCTTAGATATAGGATCCTATTCATGGATCAAAACCTTATTCGAGTTACCAGGGGACTACTAATAATAAAAGGAATGAAGAAGACAAAACCTTAAAAAGCTACAATCTTCGGGTGATACAAGAAGGAATCTCCAAATGGGTACTTTTAAATCACAAAACCCACCAAAATTCCCCAATTAGGTAAGAAAAAAACCCTAATTGTCATTCTTACTTGCCTCTGCGGCTGGTCTGAGCAGACTACCCAGATGAATCGGAACGATCTATAAGAATCAAAGGTTGCCAAGAGAAGAGACAGAGATAGATACAGAGAGAGAGAGAGAGAGAGTTGCGATTAGTAGATCTCGAAGTCTCGCGAATGAGAGGCGGTCAAAGCTTCCATTTTCTCTGCCGTCCCTCCCATCTCTATGCTTCTGGAAAAGCACGCTTCCCTCTCTCTGTCTCTGGCTAAAATTCCATTTAATGTCCTTAAAATAAAATTCCACAGGACGAAGACACTAAAATTTGTTCGAGAGATTTTTACGGATAAATTGATTCTAGATTCGAGCCAAAATAACTATTGTCATTATTGTCTGAGATCATTGGTACTAAATAAAACACATCCAAATGGGCAAATATATATATATTTAATATTAATTCAGCCTTTCACAAAAATACAGTGGAGAATATTTGTTTCTTGTTTGAGCAAAGAAGGAACCCTCATGAGAGGAAAGCAATGTCCATAAGATTCACTAAAATGCTAATGGAACAAAAAAGAAGTAGCAAACGCAGCCAGCAACAGTCTCCTCCCCTCAATATTATCAACAATATCCTTTTGTCACGAGAGATCCAAAAACCAATTGGATGAAATGAATTTAGAGAGAAAAAAAGAAAGAAGGGTACCTTCCTATTCTACATAAAGAATGAAAATCTTTCATCTTTTTACCGAGGCAGCTGATAATCTGAATCACCGCTGAGTGAATAATCTCTGCAGTTCTCTTGAATGTAATCCCCCAAGCCAAAAAAAACAAAAACCTTCAGGGTGATCTTTCCCCTTTCCTCTTCTCTACAAGGGTTAAGTGCTACTCCAAGATGTGACAGTTCCTCACGAAATCATTCGAGTAGTCGACGTACTTTGTCCAAAATGGCCGGAGATGCTCAAACCCAATCTCCAGCCATGGCTTCGACTGGCCATTGTAGTGTATTACCGCAGCCCTCTTCACGTCTTCTACGTCTGTGCTATTCTGATAGCCTAAACCCAGCATATGCCACGACGGCTCTATCGGGTGAACATGTCCTCTAAACGCGATAAGGGCCGGTGGCAAAGTTCCCAGTTTCCACATCGTTAGATTCGACTTCAGATTCTGCAAACAGCAAGTTAAGATGTTTGTTTGTCATCACAGAAGGGGAAAGACTTTCAAGAGAGATTTTTTTTGTATTGGCATTTGCATTACCTCTTTAAGCCAAGAATGATATGTTTCTCTGATATTTGTCTTCCTCCAAGCTCGTAGATCAAAGATATTCATGCCATATGCCCATGCACATTCTTTGGGATCCAAATACTTTGCAATGAGCGGATGGGAGAAATTGAAGTAGTTCCTGAAATGCTTAGACATCACCCATTGATCTTCCCCCCTACATGTTTCTACTGCTCCGTTAACCTTTCCGTTCAGGTCAATATCCCAGAGGGAAGACAAGTCCCTCTGGACAACCACATCATCATCTAAGAACAACACTTTGTCCAAGTTTGGGAAGAGCTGCAAAAGAAGGGGGCATGATTTCCAATACAAGTGTTATAAAACATGTAAAAAAGAAAAAGGGCCATTGCATCTTGAATATTGATTGGTGAGAAGAAGATAAACAATTTCTTTTACCTCGGGTAGATATATTCTGAGATGGTTGAGCAAAGATATGTATTTTGGACTTCTAGACTGCAATTTTGAAGCAAAAGTCCGAGGAGTGGTTTCACTGAGATTTGTCCCAGCGACATGATTTCCATGATAATACTTCCTGACCCCGTAATGGCTTTCCACGGCTTCCAAAACGGGTACATTCTCTCTTGTCAACCAGTCAAACTGATGAACACCTTTAACTTCAACAATGGCAGGTGCCACAGAGTTAAGCGCAAACCATGAGTGCATACCCGCATAGGTTTTCTTGTCTGTGATGACATGGAAGACAATTTTCTCCGGGTTTAAGGATGATTGAACGGTGGAAGCGATGACAACTGATGCAGCCAGAATATTGTCGGTAGACAGCACAAAATGGTGGTATGAGTTGTCTGAAAGAACAGGGAGAAACTCCGGGGAAGGAAGTTGTCTACGTGCATGAGCATTGGAGGAATATTCGTCTGTCAATCTTAGAGAGAGACAATGGATGCCTTTCGGAATGGAACTTGCTGCAAAGTGCTTGTTCATAAGTTCAGCAAATTTAGATTCCCTAATGTCCCGTTCGAACTTCTCCATCTGTTCAGAAGGGATTAAAAAATTTAGACAGAAATAATCACCTAATTTAAATGCCTCACAAAAAAAAAACATGTTATATCACATTAGAAACAATTTCAGAATTAGTCATCACGTACCATAGCTCGCAGCACAAGAGCAAATGTTTTTGCATCGTAGTGGTTGTTCTTCATATCTGAAACAAGTTGACTAAAAGAATCTGGAAGCTTCAAACCATCTGGAATTTCTTGAGTGCTTACTTCATTTAAAATTTTATAGAATTCCCTAACTAGTCTCTGCTGCAACATAAACATTGGAAAAAAGAGATATCACTTGAGGAGATAATTCAAAGAAATTTCCATCTTACAACCGAAAAAGATCTTGATATTGAATTGAAGGCCAGAAAAGAAGCAACCACCCACCTCTGAATCATCTACTCTACCAAGAAGCCGTGGACCTAACCGCCTCCCCAGACAATCTGATGCAAACAGAAGAGGGAAGAAACTGTGATGATACCATTACAATGGCACTGGAAATAAAATCAGAAATATGGCCACAATAAGGCAAAGACCCTTACATGTAGTCATTGAATTCCAATAATGTAATCTACTAACAATCTGTAATCCTAACTGCACCACAAACACAAACCTAGGAATTCCCTAGAAATGCCTATAAAATCTCAATTGTGAGAATCAAATATTTTATTAGCATCTAAGATCATACAAGTACAGAAAAGAAGCACATTCGGCCAGCTTAAAGCAAAGACAATAGAGCATTTATTTCGGGGGGGATTTAGTTCAAATCCTTTAGCAAGAAAACAAACTCAAATTTCCTAGAAAGAAAGGGAATTCTGGAAACACTGTTAACAAAACCGAATCCTACTCCAAACATTGGCATTAGATCCCACAAATCTAACAGAATGCTAGAAGGAATGATGAACAAATATGAAACCTAGCCTATAGTTGGGCCAAACCATATGCAAAAATAAGATTTCAGAGAAACCTAGCTATTCCAAATCTCTCCATTTCAGCTCCGCATTCAAGGAAACTCCTCACAACAATGATGTAGGCATCAGCAAAGGTCAAGATCCGAAACAATTAAGTCAGTGCGCCCATCAACAAAGACACAAAACCAAAGGGATATATACAAAAAAAAAACATACGGAGAAATACAATGGTGGAAGAAAAAGGTTACCAATCGAGGAACAATTGTTGACACCTTCAAGGGTAACAACAGCGGTTAGGATGAAGACGAATGGCAACAAGAAAGCAAGGATTAGGATCGGGTGGAAAAGGGTTCGATAAGAGATGTGACGAGCTGCGACTTTGATCTTCATCAAGTCAATAAACCCATTGCTGCTCGATATCGTGATGCTTCTCATGCTAGGCGATATGTGAAGCTGCATCCTTGATCGTGCAGCCCCACCACAATTACAACAGCTGCGGTCGAATCGAAAACCCTAACTCCTGTTTCCGCAGCCAATCCCCAATCCAACATCAGATCCGATGCGATTCCGCTTCCCCGATCCCGACTGCCACCCGATTCTCGATCTAGCCTTCTGGGTATCTCCCAAATCCGTCCTTGTTCCGTTCCTTACCGTTCTTCTTCTTCCTTGTGGTCTTCTCGCAGACCGCATTGGCTTTTCGACCACCAACCAATAGTTCCAATGCCGAGAATCCAAACGGGTCCGCCCCAAATTCGCGTTTCAAGCAAGCATTACAGAGCTGTCGCGTAGATCAAGAAAAAATCAATGAGCTTGTAAGAGGAGAATGAGCGGAAGAGGAAGGACAAAAAAGAGAGAGAGAGAAAGAAAAAAAAACAAGCTTTTGTTCTCAGCGATTTCCGCGGCGGATCTAAAAATATTCCAACAAAAAATTCCCCAAAAAAAAAAGATTATAATGAATAGAAGATCTTAAATATAAACCGATTGGGGAATTTCGACGGAGGGCTAAAAACCGTGTTGGTGCCTTGACCTTGAATTCACGGTTTGTTCTGTACAGCTCTAATTATAGATTTCATTTCCCTATTTTGATGGCCAAGCAAGAATCTCCACTATGTTCGGTGATTATTAATGGTAATAAATCAGTTCGTCCATTTAATTTTACCTTTTCAAGATTATTAGACAACTACTCTTTTCTCTAATTAACAATTGCATTGGGGTGGATTTGGATACTGTCAACTGTGTTATTACTAGTAATATATTGTCCTTTTACAGGAATTAACACACGAAATATAATTATTAGATGAAATTTTCGACCTTTCTTTTTTCGTTAACTAGGAGGTTCAACCTACATTCCCTAGGCCCGGAAGCAGCCTTTAGAGGCCCGGCGACAGGGGTTCAGAGAACAACACCCTCCCAACCGAGAAATAACCATCCTTCCCCATAAGCTGGTTTCGAACTGGCGACCGAGGCCAAAGAGCAACACCCTTTCGCCAGTCGACCACCCGCTGATGGGAATTTTCGAGCTTTCTTATACAAAGGCTGAAGATAATTGACTTTGCATCAAATGTATTTTGTGTTTTTTTTTTTTTTTGACGTTTTGGTTTAATTCATTTAATTTCATTTCTCAAATTCTCTTGATTAAAAAAAAGTGTGCTTGTGAGTGTGTGTGTGTGATTATATATATACTGCGAATTGCCAATGTCTTGTAGAAAAGATAAGAAACGCCATTGCAGAAGAATATTAAGCTCTCGTGAAGCGATAATGGAGGGAGAATAGGAGAAAAGAGTGTAGTTAGATGGTAATTTTCTTGGGTTTTCCATCACTTTCCCGAGAAAAACCCCATTATGAAAAGATTGAAACTTTGATAGCGAGAGGAGGAGGAGAGAAAAGAGGACGAAGTCATGATCAAGATCGATGAGAACAGGGAAAAAGAAACAGAAGAATAATGGAGATTGCAAGTAATATTTCTTCAGCTTTCATTTCAGAAACCACAGAGCTTCAAAGAGGCTGAAGTTTTCTGTCACTTTCCCGGAAAACAGAAAGAGAAAAATACAAGAACCCTCGTGAAGTAATCGAAAAAGGACTCGTTCTGGATTCTGCAGCTACTCCTTTGAGATCCCAAATCTCTGATACTTTCCACGTTCTGGATTCTGCAGCTATTATGTTTCTTTACTCGCAAACATCAAACAAGTTCGAGTCTTTTCCAGAACCTCGGGTTTGAATCTGAAATGGAAAGAAGCATTAGACCTGCTCGACAGCGCAAGCAATCGGAACGTTGAGATCGATTCCGTTGTTCGAACCGAAATACGTCTCCTCCTCTGTCAAATTCCGTGAATCTCCAACTTTAGAAGATTTTCTCAGGTGATGACACTTCTTGTGGCCTCCCAGGGCATGAACAGACTTGAAAACCCTAGAACAGATGATGCATTTGTGTTCCACTGATGAACCATTCGGCTCCCCTGTCTCTCTTCGCCTCTCTGTTTTCTGCCCAGATCCAGCCTTGTTTCTCATCCTGTGCAACGTCTGATGCCCTCCCAGTGCCTGATAAGACGAGAATGTCTTGTCGCAGGTCCTGCATCTGTGCTCGAAACTCCTCCTTTCATCCGAACAAGGCGCAAGAACGGGACTGGAACCTGCAACTTGAGGTGAACTCTTTCCGGGTTCCTCAGCATCATCATCCAAGCACATTATTCTCTTCGATTCTTCTTCTTCTCCGAGGTTCTTCTGGTGATTATCCCGAGACCCTTTTTCCGATTCACTGCCTTGGCCCGTGTTCTTATCTTTGCAAGTCTCGTCATGATCGAATTCACCACTAGTCCTCGGTTTCTTGCTGCTCAAGCAACTCCAAGAATCTTGAGTTCCAGGAGTCTCGGAGTGAGCTTCCAGAGCTTCACCGACGAGTTTGAGACCATCCAAGACGTTCCCGCCACTCTCAGACAAGAGAATCAGACATTCCACAACTTGTAGTTCTTCTTCGGTTGCAGAAACAGAAAGATATTCTGGAAATGTGATGAAGGAAGATAATCGAGTTTTCTTGTACCTGTTCACTCTCGATCTCTTCCTTCTCACGAGGCTGAAACCACACAGACTCGCTCTGGATTCTTCAGAAGCGCTCTGGCTCCCCGAATGCATCCAAGCTCGATGATTCGTCAGGCATTTGTCGTACCGAAACCCTTTTCCACATTCTTTGCATCGAACCAGATTCTTCCTCGTGCCCGAGTGATGATCCATCGAAGCTTCTGAAGAATTCGACCCCGCAAATTTCTGGGTTTTCTTCGGGTTTTCTCTCAGGCCATAGTAGCAAGAGAGGTCTCGATTTGGTGATTCTTTTTCGTCGCTTGCACCGGAAGGAAAGTGAGTCTTCATGTGATTCTGGAGAATTTCGGCGCTTGTGAACCGCCCGTTGC